AGGTGTTTTTGGGATTGCTCTATTTCTGTGTATTAAGAGAAAGAGAGTACGAACAAAACAAAGAAATTATATGAACACATATATATAAGATGAGAAGGAATGGAGGAAGTGGATATTTGAAGGGCAAGTATTTCTAGGATTGCTCTATTTATTCTTCAATGAATATATGTCGCAAAATATATGTATTGTTGAGAGAGAGAGAGAGAGAGAGAGAGGGGAGAATGTTTGATGTTTGATAAATAATTCTGACGTTGCTAATGTTTGATGTTTGATAAATAATTCTGACGTTGCTAATGTTTGATGTTTGATAAATAATTCTGACGTTGCTAATGTTTGATGTTTGATAAATAATTCTGACGTTGCTAATGTTTGATGTTTGATAAATAATTCTGACGTTGCTAATGTTTGATGTTTGATAAATAATTCTGACGTTGCTAATGTTTGATGTTTGATAAATAATTCTGACGTTGCTAATGTTTGATGTTTGATAAATAATTCTGACGTTGCTAATGTTTGATGTTTGATAAATAATTCTGACGTTGCTAATGTTTGATGTTTGATAAATAATTCTGACGTTGCTAATGTTTGATGTTTGATAAATAATTCTGACGTTGCTAATGTTTGATGTTTGATAAATAATTCTGACGTTGCTAATGTTTGATGTTTGATAAATAATTCTGACGTTGCTAATGTTTGATGTTTGATAAATAATTCTGACGTTGCTAATGTTTGATGTTTGATAAATAATTCTGACGTTGCTAATGTTTGATGTTTGATAAATAATTCTGACGTTGCTAATGTTTGATGTTTGATAAATAATTCTGACGTTGCTAATGTTTGATGTTTGATAAATAATTCTGACGTTGCTAATGTTTGATGTTTGATAAATAATTCTGACGTTGCTAATGTTTGATGTTTGATAAATAATTCTGACGTTGCTAATGTTTGATGTTTGATAAATAATTCTGACGTTGCTAATGTTTGATGTTTGATGAATAATGTTTGACATAAAAAGGCCTATAGTAAGCTTTTAGAGAAATAGGACCTATTAGTCCAACAAAAAACCTTCAAGACTAAATGGGTTAACATTCCCAAATTTGGGATTTATTGGTGCTTTCCCCTATAAAAATAAATATTTTAGTACAACATATATGTGCAAAACTTTTATAATAATGTGATAAAATAAATTTTGTAATCAATTTTTGTTGTACATAGTTTGGCCCCCTCTTACCCAAATTTATGTGTCCGCCATTGTTCATATGAGAATCCAAATATAAAAATAAAATAAAATAATTAAATAATAATTATTTTACAAATCTTAAATATTTTACTTGTAAATCTTTAAGTACAAATTAAAATATTTGGAGGGTCTTTTAATTAATTTTAAACCTAAAATAAAATTATGGTGAAAGTTTTTAATTTAGAGACAAGATTTATTATTAAAAATAAATAAATAAAATAGAGAAGAGGGTATGACTTGAACTCTACGCCACAAAATTAATAAATAAAACTTTTACCATTTGAGTTGCATATAACTTATATATATATATATATATATTGTATATTTATCTATTTATTTGACCTGCACAAGCATTATGTGTACCCCCAACTAGTATAAAATAAAATAAATACAAACCCTACTCTCTTATTTGTTCACCACATATAGCAGCAGCAGCAGTAGCCGCCACACTACCACAGGAGAGAGATTGAGAGAGAAGGGGAAAAAAAAAGTTGCAATCAACGAAGAACTTTTGAGTGTGTGGTAAGTTTCTAACTTTTTTCTTTCTTTTATTTTTGTTCTTTATCCTTATTCTATTTTATGATTTAGTTCATTGATGGAAAGGTTGTACCTTTATGCATTTTGTATATATATACATTGTTAAGAAACTTGAGGAAATAAATTGTGTGTAATGAATGGGTGTGATTCTTAGTTTAAAAATTTTGTACAGAATCACAAACTTTAAAAATCGGGGAATCATATCAAACGGATGAATTTTAAACTAAAATTTTTACAGTAGATTAATTACATATTGAATTGCATATCATAATTTACTCATAATTTTTTAGAGTCAAAATCTATTAACTAGTGCATTCAAATCTATTCAGAAAACTGGTTTAAAATAGTAATTTCGAAAGTGTGTTCTCTTTGGGTATGAATCTGAAAATTTTCAAATCAGCATCATTAGAACCAGTTATGAATCTAGTTTCTAAAATTTTTGGCCTTGCGTTGATTGCTCTTGTATACTAAGAGAACCATTAATTTCTTTAAAGTGCTGCAGAAAGCGACCTATTTGGAAATAATTAATTGTAAATAATTATTTTGATAAGCAAATCAAATGAAACCAATTGGGTTTGAAGCTTAGAATATATTAGTTGCTATCTAGAGGGTTTTGGAATTTTTTGAACAGTGTGGAGTGGGTTTTTAATTTTCAAAGTTAGCGAATGGATTGCGAAAACTTGTTTAAAATTCTGTTTTATCTCAAAGTCACATTTAATTAAGTTTCGATCTAAACCCATGTCATGGTTAATTTGAGACCTTGAAGAACATGAACTTAGGTATTATTTAAGAATAACGGTGAGTGTGGTTGAACTATGTTAGTGCACTTTAGTTTGGGGTTACTTAGTTTATTATTCCTTTTAGTATGTTTGAATTAGTAGTGACATGTAATTTTAATACTTTGTTCAGGACACTAATTGGACTTTCATACTTTATTTGAGGATTATATTGTACCGTGTTCAGGTGAGTAGTTGCATGCTACATATTTTTATAAATATTCCCCTACCTTGAACTGTTGGAAAATTAAATTGTTATTTCAGGATTAAACTATTTTGATAAATTATTATATTATCAATGAAATTAAATTATTTCCGAAACATGTGTAAACTTGGTATACTGTAAACTATTTATTATGGTCTCATGTTTATAATGGTAAACTACCATGTTTTGCGAAATTGAATTGTATTGATTATCGGGACCATCTGTATATTTTAGTCCAAAGAAATTATTCCATTGTGTGTGGTGACTCTGGCCACTAGGAAATAGATTCGGATTGGGCCGTGATGACTCTAGTGCTCAACGATTGTGAGGAAAAGACCTAGGCTAGGCTAGGTGACCTTCAATCGGATCGTCTTAGAGAAAAGGCCCGGGTTGCCATCTCGAGGATGACCCTTGGTTCGATATTGGATCTAAGGGGCTTATTGCCTTGAGAACTTTGTTGCATGTTACTTGTTATTCTTAGTACTCAGCAAATTATTGGTGTTCATGTTGTAATCTATTTTAAGTGAAAAATGTCATTTATCATATTCTTGAAAGACATGAGTATTTTAACTATCGAACTGTGGAACCTTCTTTTTGAAACAAATTATTTTAATCAAAAGTGTATGCCAATCTAGTTATGTGATATATCTTATTTTGGAATTGAACCCTGTTTTCATAACTATATTTACTATCCATGTTGCTACTCACTGAGCTATCAAGTAACTTAGTTGTTTATCACTTTCAGGTATTATAAGGACTTAGAGTGGACTCATGGCGTAGCGGGACTCAATTGCATGAACCTCTAAGACATTCGTTATTTTGTTTTAGCTTGCTATGTCGATTTTGTGCATATATTGTAGTTGGATTTTATTTAAAATTATTTTATTTTATGGACGGTTTGTCTTACATTTAATATATATTTTTAAAAGTTGATTATAGCTGGTTTTACCATTTATACTTGTGACTTGTCACTTGTCACTGATTTTGGATTTTGATTTATTTATTTATGAGCTATCGTCACATTTATTCTTTGTAACTTTGGGTTAATGTTTAGGCTTATGTGTGCCTTGAGCTAAATCCCTGTGGGCCATAGCCGGTCATGCCTGGAGTTAGGGTGTAACAGCTCGTAGAGATAGAAGAGAAACAAAATTATTGTGTTTTCTCGCTATTTTGTTTTACAAATATCAATTCATTTCTTTTTGATTGCGTTAATCCCCCTCGCCAAGATAAATATATGGGAATGTAATATGAGAGTTATACACTTCCATTTTGCATGCAAGGCTGCCCTACCAACCTTTTTCCCAACCTTTTCTTTTCTGAAAAATGAAAAAAGGGGGACCAAACCAAATGAACCAAGCACACCTTACAAACTTAAAATGAGACAAAGGGAGTAATTTCAAACACCGTATAGACCTGAAGTGGAACCGACTTATCAAGGTTCCAATCTCCATCCATGCTCAGAAAGTGCTTCAATCACCCAAAAAGATGCCTCTGCAGTGTTATTCAGTGGAGGATAGCTCCATCTTTCTGATATCTGCACAATCAAACCACAATATGGTATTTTAATGGAGAGATTGATTTTGTTCAACATCAACCACCGCAGTACCAATGGCATAATTTGATTGTGCAGCAGTTATTATAATTGCATTACAAGATAAATAGAGAAAGACTTTGGACTTTGTATGGAACTCACATTTTCTTTACCCGTGAATGGTCGCACCACTCCTCGTTCCTGCAGAGATTTGTGGAACTCCGCAAACTTCCATGTACATCGCCCTGCTCCAATAACATAAACAGGCTTTCTGCAGCACAAATTATTAACATTTCAATTGGGAGGAAAATCAAATTAAAAATGTTGAAGTACCACTAGTTCAAACATACCCAGTACTGCAAGCCTCACTCAACATACTAACTGAATCAGCTGTGATTATGAAAGCATCGGCCCAAGCGAGATGCCCATGTGAGGATTTGGATCTAACCAGTATAAATTATGCAAACATTGTATGGACTTCGAAATTCAGAAATATGCGCTCCAAAAATCCTTCAGATGATAATAAGAATTGAATATACCTTTGCCATCCCAAATGTAAACTTTAGGATGATAACTAAATTCCTTCTCTAAGATATCAGATACCTGTTGATCACAGAATGCACAAACAATAGCCCCCAATTTCATTAAGATAAAAGAAATTACTATAAATATGCACACCTCCAGTGGAGTTCTTCTCGAGAAAGATATTCTGAGGCTTCCAAAACTCCAACGAACATTCTTCAAGGATGCTGTCAACTGTTTTGCAAGGTCTGCACCATATTGACAATGTTCTACAATAACAACATAAATATGACATAAATTATGGGAATTGTTGTTATTAACCAATGATACAGCATCAACAAGGAGAAGTGAATAAAAAGAATACTTATGATTTTTCTTCCGATAAAGAATAAACTATTGCAAGTATGAAATCATATTTGACTTAGAGAATGATAAGCACTAACACAACAAACCAGTTTTAACTAAAATTGAAGCTTTTTCAGGCAAGCCATGAGTAAAGTCATCATAGAAGCAGATTTGCAATAGCGATGTTACAATATACTTTTTAAACACTAATGTAATTATGTACAAGCATGAGAGGGGATCCTATATGATAATGGCCTCGTTTGGGAAGTGGCTCTTTTAGAGGCTTTTTGACTTTTTGACTATTTCAGTAGGCTATTTTAGTTTTTGTGTTTGGGAAGATGAGATGAATTTTTAGTTGAGTTGTTGTATTGAAAAGTGTGTTGAAATGATGTTTGAATGTAAAATGACAAAAATGTCCCTAAAATTATAATTTTTTAAATTGATGTAAAGGGGCAAAATGGTAATTTAGCCGTTGATGCAACAAGTTCAGGCTGTGACAGTGTAGGCACAGCCTACACTGTCCGACGCTGAGCCTTTTTTTTTTCTTTGAAAAAATTTGATTTGGAGGCTTTTTGGCTAATAACTCAAACGAGGCTATAATAGCCTCAACCACCGTTTCCCAAACAGCGCCAATATAGGCAGTTTCAAGTTAAAAGGAACTACGTTAGATTTTCTAGTCATGCACCTTGCAAGATTTAACCTAAATAAATAAATAAAGGAGAATGAAAATTTTAGGATCTTTGAACATCAATTACTGCAATTCTATCTTTTTTTCTTTTTTCAGGTTGTGCAAAGACCAGAGTAGTAACATACAAAAAAGATTTTGAATAATTCATAAAGGCACTCTATATGGATATAAATATACTAATAAATTTAAATTATAAACTAATACATACAATAAAAAAGTGAACAGACCCTAAAGTTTGAACAATGTGATCCCCAAAACAAAACCCTATAGCTTGAACAATCTTACCATCTAAAAAAAGAAAAAGAAAACCTTGAACAATCTTAAATGCCAACTGCATCAGAGAAGTTAGTTCTATGCAACAAAACAGACTTAAGAGTTTGAACAACCTCCTCCACTCTGAGTTACTTTTACACTCTTTTCTGTCGTCAGGACCACAAATTTCCATTAACAGGGCTAACTCAATATCAGAAGCAAACAAAAGTTGTGAAAGGAGGAAAAAAGGACACGGTATCAAAATTGAGATGCAAAATACACCTTGAATATTGTCTAGCTAAAACAAAGACTAATACCCACATTAGGCCAATTATACCCTATAAAAGGCTAAAACCCAAAACTCTCTTCCATCATTTGATGCAAACGTGAGAGGCATCAACTTAAAAAACCCTTACAAAACTGAATACCCAATGTGGGAAAACAATGGTGCTAGCGGGGAAATTTTATATATTATAAGGAAAACTTCACTGTAATCTCCCCCCCAACAAAACAAACTGAAAACCCAATGTGGGAAAACAATGGTGCTAAAGGGCCGTGTGCAGTTTACCCCCTAACGTTTAGAAATGACCACATAACCCCCATATGGTTTGTGGACCAAAGAGCACACTAACTTCTATTAACTGAACATGTGAATTGACCTTTATGCGCTTGTCTTCTTCCTCTTCTCTCTTTCGAATTAAACCTGCAATACACACACGCCTATTTTCTTTTTTTTTCCTTCTATGCTATCAACTCCAACAAATTTCATTCCAACTTCTGCAAGAAACCCAAGCGGCACACACATCTCCGCACCAAAAAAATCAGTGACCCATTCTCACCATTCATCACCAGTAAATGCATATATATTATCCACTAGTATATACTTAGAAATTATTATGGGCCGCCAGGGGTGTCGGAGAAAGAGAGGATTTTGACCAAGCTGTTTCCCACGATGTCGGTGGCGCCAACGATCAACCCATGCTATCATAGCTTCTTGGAGCATCGTAAACTCCAGCCTCCAAAGAAAAATACAGCGGATTCAATCTTGATGTATATATATTTGTATGTATCAAGGATTTTTTCCAAAAGTACGAATTTTTTAAACCAAATTAGAGCATAAAAATTGGTCAACAGAACACCAGAAAAAGGAGAGCCTAAGCTAAGATAATAATTGTTAATGGAAAACCATAATAGAGCATGGTAAACAATTGATAAATACATTATTTGAATTGTATTTCCAGACCATTGTACAGAGGCATCAAGTTGGAGATCTCATGAAAGCTTCGTTGAAGCAAAAATTGAAGGGATTGGAAGAGCATTGTACAGTGATGACAAATGGAGAGAGAGGAGGAGAGGGATGATGAAGATAAGGTGGTACTGATGGCGGGAAAAGTGGTTGACCTGTGAATTGTTGAGTTGGAGGAAGAAGATGAAATAAAAAGCGAGGCTTTCTTTGGATTTTTTTGTATTTTTCATCTAAAAATGGAGGGCACAAGTGGAAGTGAAAGAAATGATGAGAGGTAGAGGAATGGTAAGTTAGTAATTTTAGAGAGTTAATAGGGAAGAGGAAGTTGGTGTGGTACAATGGGTTGGAGTTAAGCAATAGAAAGAGAAATAGTAGAGAGGAGGAAGAAGAATGGCATGTGTAGACATCCCATTTTGACTGACTCTAAGACTTCGGATGCTTGCAAGCCTCCGATGATGAAATGGTACTTAACTTCATCTTTAGAATGATTAAGGATGTCTAGAATTGCTATATAAACCCGTTTTGGCCAAAAATAGACCTTTTTACAAAACTGACTATTTTGCCCCTAAACCCATTTTTAGCCAAAAAAAATTAATTTCTTAACCCTGAGAAAAAGAGGAAAGCCTGGTTTTCCTTTGATCAAACGTATTTTTCAATATTAGTAACTCATTTTATCAAAAAAATTAATCAGAAGGCACTACGGACTTACTTGGGCCACAAGCAAGCCAAGATCATGGAATGCATAGAGGGATGACACGTGTACCATGGCAAAGGCTGCGTGCGCACTTGCCTCGTGCTTGCGCACAAGAATGGTGCATGTGCATATCCAAGCATGACAAAGTTATTTTTAAAAACTCAATCTTTGTGCATTTTTTAAGGGAGGCGGCAGAGGAAGCGATGGGGGTTGCCCTAGCTTGCTCTCCCCTCCCCCTCAAACCTATATAAGGAGCCCCTCCCCCTTCCTTTCAAGGGGGTTAAGAAATTTGAACTTTTGTGAGCTTTTGAGACCAAAACCACCCACTTTCTCGCCCCCTTTTCCTTAGCTTTGAAACACACACCCCTATAGCAACTCTAAACCTCTGAAAAACACCCCCAAGGACAGAAGAACTTGAACCCTAACTCAGAATCCAAGCTTGAGGGAGGCTTGCAAGCAAGGAACTCAGCTTTTCTAGCTACCTTCTTCGTGTTTTCTTCAGTTTAAGGAAACTAGCAAGTAAAAACACTTTTACCTTTTATATTTCAGTATCTGTAGGCTTTACTTTTTAGTATTCCTTCATGCTAGGTGTTAGGCCATCATCTCATCATGTAGTCATTTGGTTTGTTCACTTTCTCACCTCTCTCTTGCATGCTTTATTTATCTTGTTAGAACAACATGTTCTTAAATCTATTTTAATCATATAATCAGCATGCATGACCCGGTTTGAATCATTATGTAGTTTAGTTTATATTTTGTTTTCATTTTTTAGTTGTTCCTTTTGTGAATGTTCATCATATAGTAACTTCAAACCGGGCCTAGGCTGCATCTTGTATGTGTTAGTTGCATTGCAGATCATATTTACTTTATGTATTGCATGAAAGACGCTGAAAGTGGACAATCGAGTAAGTCCTCTCTCCCTCCTTAGCATGTGTTTGCTTCTTGCATCATTTTTTAAATAACCAAACCAAACCAAGCCTTAAGTCCTATCAAATGGGGTCGGCTACATGAATCCTTCTTCTCCATGAGGCCCTATCAAAGGCCATTTCATTAGTCAAATTAAGTAAATTCATATCTTTATTTAAAACGCTAGTCAACGTTAATCTACGCCTACGCCTACCCCGTCCCCTAACACTTCCATCTACCGTTACAGCATCGCATCTCTTCACTACTGCCTTTGTTGGTCTCCGTTGAATATAACCAAACCATCTCAAACGATTCTTTCTCCACGCGGCCCTATCAAAGACCATTTCATTAGTCAAATTAAGTAGATTCATATCTCTATTTAAAACGCTAGTCAACGTTAATCTAGGCCTACCACGTTCCCTAACACTTCCATCTACCATTACAGCATCGCATCTCTTCACTACTGCCTCTGTTGGTCTCCGTTGAATATGACCAAACCATCTGAAACGATTCTCTCTCAACTTAGCTTCTATCGGTGCTACTCCTACCCATTCCCGAATACACTCATTCCTAATCCTGTCTTGTCTAGTTTTACCACACATCCACCTTGGCACCCTCATCTCAGCCACACTTATCTTATCTACATGTTGTTTCTTGGTTACCCAACACTCCACCCCATACAACATAGCTGGTCTAATAGTCGTTCAATAAAACTTACCTTTTAGTCTAGTGGGTATTCGTTTATCGCACAATACCCCAGATGCACTTTTCCACTTACACCATCTCGCCTTAATCCAATGGGCCACATCTACATCAATCTCTCCCGCTGTTGTGATAATCGACCCTAAATAACGAAAATGTTCACTCTTAGGCAATTCTTGGTTCTCAATCTTCACTTCTCTGCTTTCATTGTTACTGTTACTAAATTTACACTCCATGTATTCTGTCTTAGTTCTGCTTATCCGGAATCCTTTAGATTCAAGAGCTTTTCTCCAAATCTCTAACTTTGTGTTAACTCCTTCTCTAGTCTCATCCACTAGCACAATATCGTCTGCAAAAAGCATGCACCATGGCACGTCATTCTGAATATTTATCGTCAACTCGCCCACAACTAAAGCAAAAAGATAAGGACTTAAGGTAGATCCTTGGTGTAACCCTACAGTGATAGGAAATTCATTTGTCTCTCCAGTTGGCGATCTAATAGTGGTCACCACCCCTTCATACATGTCCCTAATCATGTCAATGTAACCTTTTGTCACCTCTTTCTTCTCTAACACCCACCATATTATATCCCGAAGCACTCTGTCATATGCTTTCTCAAGGTCGATAAACACCATATGAATGTCTCTTTTCTTTTCTTTATACTATTCTATTACTCTCCTCAAAAGATAGATCGCTTCCATTGTTGACCTACCAGGTATAAATCCAAATTGATTCTCTGACACCTCTGTTATATCTCGCAATCGGCGTTCTATCACCCTCTCCCACACTTTTATTATATGACACATTAGCTTGATTCCTCTATAGTTGTTACAATTCTGGACATCACCTTTATTCTCATAAATTGACACTAAAATACTCTTCCTCCACTCATCTAGCATGTTCCTAGTCAACAAAATTTTGCTAAACAACCTAGTCAACCAACCAACTCCCTTTTTACCCAAGCACTTTCAAGCTTCAATAGGGATATCATCGGGTCCTAAAACCTTACTTGATTTCATCTTCTTAAGTGCAATTTCCACTACAAACTTCCTAATCCTTCGATAGAACCTATAGTCTTGGTTTATCGTATTACTGGCTATTTCTTCCCTTATTGTCGTACCTCCATGTTCCTCATTTAATAGTTTCTCAAAATAATTCTTCCATCTTTCCTTAATCTCATCATCCTTCACCAATACCTTAGAATCCTCACCCTTTATGCACTTTACTTGATTAAAATCTCTTGTTTTCCTCTCTCGTATCTTAGCAAGTTTGTATACCCTCTTCTCTCCCTCCTTACTATCTAGTCTAGTGTATAGGTCATCATATACTTTCAACTTGGTCTCTCTCACTACTTTCTTGACCTCATTATTAGCCAAGCTATAGCTCTTAAGGTTTTCCTCAGTCGTATCCTTCTGCCACTTTTTAAAGCATTCTTTTTTTGCCTTAACTACCGCTTGAACCTCTTCCCTCCACCACCAAGTTTCTCTAGAGCTGGGTCCCGTTCCTTTCGACTCTCCAAGCACTTCCCTTGAGATTCTCCTTATACAATTGGCCATCGAGTTCCACATAGTGTTAGCATCACCTTCTAAGCCCCAAGTACCTTCCTTATCCATTCGATTCTTAAATATTTCTAGTTTATCCCCTTTTAGGTCCCACCATCTCGTCCTACAACACCCACCATCTTTCTTAGCTTGGTATTGCCCTCTAAAACATAAATCTAGTACCAAAATCCTATGTTGAGAGACCAGACTCTCTCCAGGAATCACCTTACAATCTTTGCATTTTAGGCGGTCCACTTTTCTCACTAAGAAGTAATCTATTTGACTCTTAACTAATCCACTCTTAAAGATTATCAAATGCTTCTCCCTCTTCTTATACATAGTATTGGCCACCACCAGGTCAGAAGCCAACGCAAAATCTAAGATATTCTCTCCAGCCTTATTTCTGTCACCAAAACTGTATCCACCATGCACCATTTCATAACCTAGTTTATCTATGCCCACATGGCCATTAAAATCTCCACCTATAACCAAGTTCTCTCCTACGGGTATCTCCTGTAAGATCTTATCCATTTGCTCCCAAAAATCCTTCTTAGTCTGATCATCTAACCCTACTTGAGAGACGTATACGCTAATAATGTTCACTATATTCCCTCCAATAACTAGTTTAACTAGCATAATCTTATCTCCTTTCCTAGTGACCGCCACTACACTTTCCACAAGACCCTTGGCAATTATGATTCCTACCCCATTCCTGCGTCTATCCTTACCACTATAATACTATAATATAGTTTAAAACCGGTATTCTCAATTTCTCTAGCTTTCTCTTCTGTCCACTTAGTTTCTTTGCAAGCTATACTAACTCTCCTCCTAATCATAACATCTACCAATTCCATCGTCTTACCAGTTAAGGTTCCTATGTTCCAAGTGGCTACCCTAAACCTATAGTCTTGGAGTAGTTTCTTTACCCGCGCTCGTCCAGAAAAGCGCAGAAACCTTTGCCATTTTTCACCGCACCCAGGCGTCGATGCGGCGCCCCTTGCTCACTTTTCGAAACACCTGGAGGCAGGCGCAACGCGTCACTTGAGGGAAACGACCTAACATTTAAACGCGTCACTTGTATGTTTTGAATGTTTTTGTGAATATTGCCTATCTTAGTTTGAGTTCATTGCCATAAAATAAATTAAAATATCATTTTTAATGGAAAATCTTCACTTTTAAGTATGGCATTGTTCTTTCAATCTAAGATGGGTGACATTCACTTTTTATTCAGATCACATAGTTTTAGGATTAGTTAAAGGTTTGTAGGCTTAAAATGAACTCGTGTTGAAGGTTTTTAGGCTTAAAATGAACTTGTGTGAATAATTAACTACTAAAATCATAAATTAGAAAGTGAGTAGAGGCCAATCTTCGGATTGGGCAAGAGGGGACGCTATCATTCAATAACCTTCTCCTCTTGTACATAAGCTCCTAAATCCGAATTATTCTTGGCTGTGATGGACTGGTCCTTAACTTAATTTTCATTGTTAAAGGTTTCTTAATTCCCCTTTAAAAATTAAGTGGCGACTCTTTGTTGTCAGTGTGTGATGCATGCCTTAGACTCAAAAAAGGCACGGCAATCACAGCATGCTTTTGAAAATTTAAAGATATGCAAGGGGTATTCTGATCTTAAAATATAGTTGACTCTCTTCATGAGCATGTGAACCTCACATCCAATTAACTTAGATGGAAAAGTGGATAGTGCAATTTGGTCCACAAACCACGTGGGGTTTATGTAGTCATTTCCAAACATTAGGGGGGTAAACCACACATAACCCAAACCACAAGAGGTAAAATGAAGTTTGCCCTATATTATAAGCATGTGGCGAATCTCCTTCCACCAGATGTTTCCAGCTTGGATAATTATATATTTTACAATTCGTAATTTATTAAGCATCAATCATTTAACATCAGGAAGCATAGAGTTCTAACATGATCAGCCTCTTAGATAGAATCACAAATGAGTCGTAACTATTAAAGTTTTAATTGCACAAATTACTTGTAGGCCCTCCAATGTTAACCACGAGCAAGGGTTTCAGCAAAGGAGCCAACTCATCATGCCAGGCACAAGCAGCAACCTGTAAAGCGGTAGAGTCAGCCTGATGAAGAGCTCCCACAGTGAGGACCCGAGGTTCAATTTTTAAAAGCAGTAAGCTTCTTATATGTTTGCAGCACTTGCATGTAAATGACAATTAACATCCACCAAGGGTTTTTAAATGAGTGAACTCACTGAGGCAAATGTTTTATAGCCGAGAAACATACCACATGTCTGTCAGGAGGTTCACGAGGAGTTATCCACCTCCGAAGAAACCATGGGATCTGTTCCTGTCCTTCAGGAGTTAATGGGTAATAATCATGGCGAGGAGTAATCACCAGATTGAACTGATTTAGCTGTGATCTGGGATGCTGTATCTAAACATATTGCAAAAGAATTAACTGTATGAACCAATAATTGCATACATAAATAAAATAATCAATGGCAGATAAACAAAATGTAAAAATGATTTTGCCATAATGAGTTTATTGCCAAAATTCTGCAACATTGCCCAGTAACATTACATTCTTTTCCAAAAAGCAAACAGTAGCAAGTAAATATAAAATGGAATTTCTTTGCAATGTTTAAAATGAAAGTTGGTTCAATAACCTAAGCTATAACTCGAGACTAATGCCTCAAATACTCACACGGGAGGTAATAAGCAACAAGCATCTAAAAAACCAATAAGAAAGTTATTTTAGAATCATGTAATCATGACAACACCAACTTATATGTATGCCACATAAATTGATATTTAGCATTAGTTACTTTTACATTTTCATATTTCAGTATACATAATGCCGAGAGTCATACTTTCAAATTTAAGTTCTCCTCTCAAACCTGAACAACAAAGACTTTTTCTGGAGCTAACCGTTTTATGCAACTTGCAACAGAGATAGTATCCCAGCCTGATGCAACCACCAATAATGGACCATCCCTAATTGAATAAAATAGAAAATAAAAGTTGATACGATTACACCAAGCCAAGTATATATGAACCATAATTCTAACCTGTAAGTGCTGAAAAATGAAAACTGAGAAGGTTGTTGATGTAAAAGGACATGTCCATAAGTTTGGGATCAGCTATATAATATAACAAATTCGGAAGAAAATTCAAGAAGGAATGGATTACACAAAATACAAAATAACATACAACTCATCATCTATTAAATTTTCAGAAAAGTGAAGAAATGACAGTTCCACAACACATGAACAAACAATTGCCAATTGTGTAGACAAAGTGTCTTCGAACAAGATAACAGAAACAAAACAACCAACCTCATGGCTGGAGCCTGGACAAATATTTATTGATATACGAACTATCCATACAGTTTACTGATGGGGAGTGTAATAATCCAAGGCATTCAAATAGATGTAAATCTCTAATAACATTTACAATGGACAAATCCCTAATTTGAAAGCAAGCATTGATCCAAAATGTATATGCCTCACATTCATTTGAGAAGAAAGACAAGACAATAGACCTACAAATTGCAAATCCTAATTAAGTATAAACTGCAAAGAGTAATTATTCACAGAGGGCCTCAATCAATTGATATGTCAAAATTATTTAGATTGCCATATAAGGTTACCATTTGCACATAAAGTAGAGAACACCTTTAAAATTAATGGATGCCAGTGCCACCCCCGTGTAAATATCATCTGGATTTACTCCATGAAACCATCTGTACTTGTACAAGTTCAACAAAGATAGAAAGAGATGAAAGCTCAGTAATCATTTAAAAAGGGCCATAGACCTATGAAGCACGGACACGGACAAGGGATTGTAGGTTAGGAGAAGTCAATAAATGTTGAGTTTTTTTTTTTTAAATCAAAAAATTAGAAAATTAGGATTAGGAGATTGGAGCTCCCACAGGCCTTGGGGTTAAAAACCCCATTTTGCTTAATATATAGTATAGATTTTTAATCTAAACCATTTGCAAGTTTTCGTTAAGTAAAATTAATACAAAAAAAATGAATATTTTAGTCATTAACTCAATAAAAAATAATATTTCAGACATTTTATGTACAATTCCGATTTGTAGCTCGAAAATACTGAGGCTCGAATGGCCTGAGTTCCAAAACGACGTCGTTTTGGAATTTTTTTTTTTTTCCCCTCTTTTCTCTTTGAAGCAGAGGTGAAGATGAAGAAAAAAAAAAGGAAGAGAGGAGAGAGAGAGAGAGAGAGACGAGAGACGAGAGACGAGAGCGAGAGGCGATGAGGCGAGACTCACTTGACCGAATCGAGAGGCCAGAGCTTCTTGTACATCTTTTGGAGTGTTCGACGAACCAGATAAGCAATTTCTTCTTCTTCTTCTTCTTCTTCTTCTTCTGTTCTCTTTATGTTCTGATTTTGAGATTTAGGGCCAAATTTCTGCACTTTTTATGGGTTGATTCTGGACACACGTGTCCTTAGTGTGTCCTGGCATGTCCCAGGCGTGTCCCTTTTCAAAAAAATAACAAAACTAAAGGCGCACGCCAAATGGTGTGTTCATTACGTGTCCCCGACATGTCCCGTGTCCAACACCGCAACAGCACCTATTCCGGTGTGTCCATGCTTCATAGTTATAGACCATTACATTTAGTTTTTGATGTGTAACATTTAGTATTCTCCATATTCAACACAAATAACAATGATTAATAAAAAAGAGCCACCTCGAATTTTAATAATGAGAAGTCCATAGAGCGGCATTCTAACATATAGTGTTATTAAAGGCAATAGGCACACTGAAATGCCAAGGTTTTCTAGGACCTAGGAGCAATGACAATAAAAAATAGATACTTAATATAGGCAAATAATTCAAGGTTCTATATAAGTAAAATGAAATATTAAATATTTTATAACATAAATACCAACAAACACCAATATTTTATCATAGTAGATAAATAATTCAAGATTCACATAAACTTAAACATCTAACTCATAAATCATAAACATTTAAAAATAACGACAAAATCGAAGTGTTGAACAAGATAAGCATCAAGATGTAGAAGGTGAAGGAGATTGAGGAGATGAAAAAGAATAATGACAATTGGTAGTCTAGTCGAAGAGAAAGCTCTATCCAACTAACATCCTTGTATAATTAGGGCTCAAAAGTGTTGGGTTGCAATGTATGTTTAGGGATTTAATCCCTTGTAGCCACGTGTAAACAAAAAATAATGAGATTAAGTGAAATCAAGGGTTCTAATTATAATAGACAAACATTTTTAAAAAGTGCACAAGTCGTGCGCCTTGAGCCTAAGCCTAAAGTGCACGCTTCATGTGCCTTTATGGGCTTGTTTTACATCGCCTAGCTTGAAATGTTCTGAAGCGCATTGACTGCCCGTTGATGAGCCTTATGCCTAGGCACATGCCTAGGTGCACCTTTAATAACACTTCTAACATATATAATAACAAAAAGTTTACAAATTAAAACAAAAAAACATTAGCTTGTGTAACATTTTTATAAGCAAAAGCTTGTATAAAGTAATACTCAAGTCAAACCTTGTGTTATCTTTTCTTCTCAAAAGACTATCAACTTTTTTAAACCCTATGAAGTGGTTAAGTGAAACATTGACAGCAGTTAGATGGTTGTTTACCTTTTAAATTTTCAAAAAGTAGGCAGACACTAATTAAAGTAATAAATATTCAGTTCTGTTCTTTTCTTTTCTTTTCTTTTTTTCTCTCCCGATGTTTATGCTCTTAATGTGATATCTTACTGAACCGAACTTGCTATAGGGTAATGAAATTGTTCAACAAGGCCCATCATTATGTGAGCGATGTAGTTGGTTTGAGGTTTCAACATCTACAAGAAAAGGTGGACCCAAATAACACTAGGCAAAGACTACGATCTAGAGATTCAGTATCACCCCGAGAAAGCTAATACAGTGGCTGATGCTTTGAGCCGAAAATCAACAGGGAGTATGGCTTGGTTGCTTACCGAACAAATGGAGATTTTGCAAGACTTTGAGGAGTCTGAAATTGAAGTAGTAGTAGGTGAACAGGGCGGATTGATAGCCGCTATTACAGCCGAGCCGACAATTGTTGATGAAATCATGTAGAAACAGAAAGAGGATGCGTTCCTCAGAAAGGTGATTGATGAGTTTAAGACAAGTCCAAAAGCAGAATTTAGCATTGAGAATGAAATGTTGAAATTCCAGAACCGAGTATGTGTCCCAGATATCCCGGAACTAAAGAAGAGGGTTCTAGATGAAGCCCACAGATCCGTAGTTGCTATGCATCCTGGTAACAACAAAATGTATCGAGATTTGAAACAAACCTATTGGTGGCCTAACATGAAGAAAGAGATTGCAGAATATGTGTCCAAGTGCCTTCAGTGTCAGCAAGTTAAGGCTGAACATCAGAAACCAAGCGGTCTACTTCAACCTCTCCCTATTCCTGAATGGAAGTGGGAACATGTGACTATGGATTTCGTTGTTGGTCTACCTCGAACTTCTCGAGGTATGGATTATGTTTGGGTTGTAGTTGATAGACTGACTAAATCTGCACGTTTTCTACCTGTCAAAACTACATTTATCGCTTATAGATTGGCTACTATTTATGTTGATGAAATTGTCCATTTACACGGAGTTCTGGTATCTATTGTGTCGGATAGAGATCCAAAATTCGTATCTAGATTGTGGAAAAGTTTGCTGGAAGCTATGGGAACAGAACTAAGGTTCAGTACTGCATTCCACCCACAGAAAGATGGGTAGTCAGAACGAATGATACAGACTTTGGAAGATATGCTTCACATGTGTGCTTTGGATTTTCAGGGGAGTTGGGAAGATTATTTGCCGCTTGCAGAATTTGCTTATAATAACAGCTTCCACTCCCGCATCGATATGGCACCATATGAGGCTTTGTATGGTAGAAGATGTAGATCACCTATTTGTTGAACAGAGGTCGGGGATAGAGCTTTGCTTGGGTCAGAAATTGTGCAAGACACCTCTAAGAAAATCAAAACCATTCGGCAAAGGCTCAAAATAGCTCAAGACCGACAAAAGAATTATGCAGATGTTCGGAGAAGACCTCTTGAGTACGAGGTTGGTGACCATGTGTTCATCCGTGTTTCCCCGATGAAAGGCCAAGTCAGATTTGGGAAAAAGGGCAAGTTGTCGCCCCATTACATTGGGCCGTTTCAGATTCTGGAGAGGCTTGGTCCAGTTGCTTATAGAGTTGCCTTGCCATCGGGATTTGAACAAATTCATAATGTGTTTCACGTGTTGATGTTGAGGGGCTACCTCCGAGACCCGTTCCATGTGATTGATTATCACGGGGTAGCTATTGATGACAATATAGAATATGCCGAATGGCCGGAAAGAGTTGTTGATTGGCAAGTGAAACAGTTGAGAAACAACACCATCCTGATGGTGAAAGTTGAATGGAAGGAACACTATGGTACAAATGCCATGTGGGAAAAAGAGGAGGAAATGCGACTACGCTATCCACATTTGTTTCTCGACGAAGGTAACCTAAGTTTAGAGGACCAAACTTCCTAAAGGGGGGGAGACTGTGATACCCCTGTTCTGTAATATGTTAATTGGTCCCTAATACGTATGTGATTATATGTTTTTATATGATTTTGTGTGCCATTATGTGAATATATGTGATTTTGAAATTCTAGCTATTCACCGTAAGGAATATCTGTTTGAATAATCTGCTTTGGAAATTAAATTGAGGGCCTTATCGGCCACAGAACCCGAAATCGATTACGCCATTGTGATTAGCGTAATTTTTAGAGCCTACGGCGAAATTTAATTGAAAATTTATTTGGGTCAGATTAAACTGATTAAATTGGTGAATTGAGTACCCAACTATTTTATATTAAAATAATATGTTAATGGGGCTTGTTGTATGTTAGCACTACACTCTCCTTTAACTCTATTGAACTCAAAATCTGAGTTATACAATTGAGATTGAGAGAGAGACGGCTGTTAGAGAGAGAGAGAGAGAGAGAGAGAGAGAGAGAGAGAGAGGAGAGAATTGTGCATTTGTGGTTCAAGACTTAGACCTTTTGGAGATTAAGCTCAAGTATTGCTAAATTGGGAAGATTAAAGCTCTTTGGTGAATGATTCATGCATTTATAGTCATCATCTTGTGAATTCAAGTTTAATAGATGGTCAAGAGCATGAATTAGTTTGAATGTAAGGGAATTGAGTTGCTTGTGTTCAATTGAAGGTCAATGAAGGCATGCATGTATATAATTGTTGTAGAAATGCATAATCTAGCATGTATTGAGTTGAACATGGAAATAAAGGTATTAAATCTTGCATGCAAGCATGCTTTTGTTGTATTCCATGAGAATGAACACCATTTGCATTGTTTGGGATGGAAATGAAATCAAGATTAGCATGCATGTTTGAATAATTAAGATATGAGCTTTGAATGTATCATTTTGTTCGTATTAGAATGAGTTGATGGGAGATTGGGGCACGCAGGTGAATTCCATTGTAATGTATTTTGGTGTTTATGGCATGTTAGCATGACTATATTTGAGATTTGAGCCATAACATGCATGTTTTGTTGGT